AAACCATTCCGAGAGCTAGCTGGGCTGGCAAGCAAATATGATGATGCGTGATAGGAACACTTGATACACAAGCCTAGATTTCGCGTGTGAGCTGGTGGCACTTCCAGTAGGAGCACTGCTAGCATATATTTGCTTGCGACTCAAACTATTTGGGCAGCTATACTTTTTTGAGAATGTCCGTTGTTCATGTGTGAACCCGTACATATAAAATTGTCGTCTGTGGCTTGTGCCTGGATGCATCAGATGGTTAATCTCATCCTGAACATGTGCTAGGATACGGATTTTTAGTGGTTACCTGTCCAGCTATGGCTCGGGATGTGTGAAAAACGTCCACGTCCATTTCATTTAGCTACCAAATTCAGCTAGCAGAACTAAATTTCATTTTGGGCTTCTGCTGTTCATATCACACTATCCCTGTGGTTTATGCATTTGCATTATCAATGATAGCATAATGCTTGCTACATTAGTTTTCACTGCAGCAGGGGCAGTGCTTACAAAAGAGGAATAATTCTCTTTGTCCTTTTCGCGCACCAGCAACTTTCGGTCTCTCACAAGCCGAAATCAACAAATGATACACCACATAGTTGCACAGGCGAAATAGTTCGAAGACACATGATTGCATCGGCTGGCCTGGTGCGTGCTGCCGATGATTAAATTTTTGCTGAAAATAATTTCTGTTTTCAAATTTGATGAAGACTAAACTGTTTGTGAGGGGCTAATTGGTACTGCTGAGATCCAACCTGATACATGTTGGCGTGCCCATTCCATCTAGAGCAATGGTCATGTCGGCTAGCGCCATCTCCATTTTTATTTTTACGAAAACTGGAACTTAATATATAAATGCAGGGATTTTTGCAGATGTCAGTATGCGCACGGTGAGGAAGAAAGACGACCAGTACACCGACATCCCAAATATAAAACAGCGTACTGTCAACCGTTTCATCAAGTTGGCTACTGCTCCTACGGCTCCCGATGCCATTTCATCCACAACGAAGAACCGGCGTCACTTGCACGATATCAAAAAAATAACACCAGGTAATAATTTCTATCAGTTCTTACCTATTTTAAAGCAAAGCCTGGTGATATGCCAAAAATAAGTGCAACTGAGTTTGTGAGAAAATGTTAATTTCTGGTTTTTTAGTTTTAGGAGACAAAAGCACATCATGGCGAGATAAAACATGTATGTATTTGTGCATTTGTGAGGCCATGTATTTTTCTTAATATGTGACTAATTTAAAGCCGCAAGGGCAGTAATCTGGAAATTCAGAATCATATTTCTCAAAATGCAAACAACCGAAAATCGGGGCACAACTTTTGCTGCACGTAATGATGAAGTCAGTTCGAACTCTAATTTAATTTTATAATTACAGAACAAAGCGAGTTGGACAACTGAAATTTCGAGCTTTTAACTGACCGCTCTAGATTTCAGGAGGAGATTTTCGAAGTATCTCCCCTTTAGCGTACAATAACTAGATATTTTGTTAGTTAACCTGATATGGAGGGCACCGTTACGGTCAAGAACAGAAAGTAACCCATTCTGGAACGTACCAGACTTGCCGGTGCGGTCATTCATTTTTGCACTACACTCACAGACCGCTAATATCAGAAACGATTCCTACGCTGAGGCGCTGTAGGTTAACACTTGGGCTCATATTGGCCGCGCTCTGGCTTCTTCCGGCGTCCAGGAGAAAGGGCGTCGGTTGGGGTCATGCGTTTTTGCACTGAAAATTATAGGGCCGCATGGACATCCAGGTACATGATTGCCAGTTTTTATGCGTTTTTGCCGTGCAGCGCTAGAGCGCTGCAACAGGCAGCAAAAACGCATATTG